GTCACAAAAACTTCGTCTATTGAATCATCTTAATAGGGGTATATTGAATGGCCTTATTGTTTTAATAGGTAGATTTTAATTACTATAATCATAAAGAATGTTGTGACCAACAAGGGTTATGATGGAGTGGTAAGTACTCTTTCATTCTTAACCAAAAAGTCTCGGGTTCGACCTCCCTTGGGTATGGAGTCATCTATGTTAGGGAGAGAGTTTTACCCTCAAACTGAAAAAAGTGTTATTGGTTTATTGGTATTGGGTTAACGACCTAGAGAACTAAGAACGTGAGTATTTGCTATACTTTTACTACACCAAGCAGAATTTTGAACTCATTGAGTAATTAGATTTCTCTTTTTTTTTTTTATTTTGCGTTAAAAAGTTGGTCAAGTCATACATTTATTTTGAAAACATTTTCTTATTAGTTAAACCGAAAATTGTACCATTAAAGATCTAAACCAAAACCGATAACAAATATTTTATTGATTTGATTATTGATTTAGCATATTTAAAAATCAAAAATTGATAAATCGAATCCAACCAAATTGACCGATACACAACTCTAATCATGTAAATCAATTTAATGATTGTAATTTGTATGTGAAACTAGCTCAACAATTGACATAATGACACATAAATTAGATGATATTCTTATCCTTTTTTCAATTGTAGAATTATAAATGATAATTTAGACATTGCTAATTTAGAGATCAATTTTCTAAAAAATACATTCTTAACTTTATTTTTCTTAATTTACATTATATTTCGAGTAAATCGCAAATTCATTATACTTTTAAATTCATAATATAAAATTTGGGATAAACTGCCATTTCCCGCGAATAATTTCACAAATTCACTCCTCATTTTCAACTAGGGTTTTGGCGTCTGAGATTTGCAGAGATTTTTTCCGATTTCCATTTCCCTAAGAAACTCATCAGCTTCGAAATCTAACTGGTAAGTTTCTCTTGTTTCGATTTTGTTTTTGGTGATTTCAGTGTATGAGTTTTGCTCTATGAACTATAAGCTTCAGTTTTCGTACTGCGATTGATTGTTTGAAATCTGCATATGTGAGTTGAGTTTTGCTCTATGAACTATCAGAATTTGTTGATATTCGCAACATAAGCTTCATTTTTCACAGTCCGATTGATTGCTTGAAATGTGCATATGTGAGTTGAGTTTTGCTCAATGAACTATCAGAAGTTGTTGATAATGGCTTCATAAGCTTTCAGTTTTCGTTCTCGGATTGATTGTTTGAAATTAGCATACGTGAATTGAGTTTTTCTCTATGAACTATTAGAAGTTGTTGATATCGGTTTATAAGCTTTATTTTCGTACTCTGATTGACTGTTTAAAATTTGCATATATGAGATGAGTTTTGCTCTATGAACTATCAGAAGTTGTTGATATCGCCTTATATAAGCTTCAGTTTCTGCAGTTCGGTTTAATGTTTAAAAACTGCATATGTGAGTTGAGTTTTGCTTTATGAACTATCAGAAGTTGTTGATATCGCCTTATATAAGCTTCAGTTTCTGCAGTTGGGTTTAATGTTTAAAAATTGCATGTGTGAGTTGAGTTTTGCTCTATGAACCATGAGAAGTTGTTGATATTGCTTTATAAGCTTCAGTGTTCTTACTGCGATTGATCCTCTGAAATGTGCATATGTGAGTTGAGTTTTGCTCTATGAACTATCAGAAGTTGTTGATATTGACTTATAAGCTTCAGGTTTTGTACTCTGATTTAATGTTTGAAGTCTGCATATGTGAGGTGAGTTTTGCTCTATGAACTATCAGAAGTTGTTGATATCGCCCTAAAAGCTTCATTTATCGTACTCCAGTTGAATGTTTGAAATCTGCATATGTGAGTTGCGTTTTGGAGTAGAATTGTGAAGTAAATGTAGTTGCGATATTTCCTTTTTATGCCCTTCTATTTTACTGCTTTTGAGGAAATAGGATGGTGGACTGTAAGAAGAGAAGTGTTTTATAGCTTGATTGGCTTTGTAGTTGGTGGGAAAAGAATGCAAAAGAAATTACTCATGTTAGCTCTTTATTGCTTACTGAAAGATGAGAAGAATCAAGGAAGTACTGTTAATGTTGTTAAAAATTGCTATTGAATTGGAAATTTTATGTTATTCATGAGCTCTTCTATTGTCACTTTATCTGAAGCTGTGGAATGCCCTGTTGTAAGGGGGGACGAGTTTTTGGGGTTGCTTGCTGCTTGCTTGGTGGGTGGGTGGTCAGGTCTATGAGTCCTCCCTATTGAGTTGGGAAACTTTGACTGAAAACACTAGAAGATGGTAGTGTCGTAGTGATAGCGGATAGGTCATGCTCTTGGAGAAAAGAAGTGACCAACATGGATAATTAATGAAATATGAAAGGTCATGAACTTGTTTCAGTAAAGGAGGAAAGAAATGACTTAGAAAGTAAACTTCGTATTATTTCCCCATTGGTATAGTTGGTTTATTTGTTTTGCTCTTCTTTCCTTTTGTTTCCCTCTCCTTCCTGTTGTCCCTGTCTTGAAACCAGCATTCATTTTCTTCCGTCTCTTCTTATTTCCCCATCTTCCCTCCTAATTTCGCTTCTTTTCACTTATGTTCATATTTTAGTTTTGATTCATCTTCCTTTCTTATTGAATTTAGTACTTTATTTTTTGGGTAGAATATTTTTATGCAAAAATATGGAATTACAAGACTTCCAACTATTTTTCTCTATTCTGAGTTGGTGTTATATATTTGCTGTGCTTTCATGAACCCACCAAACTCCAGGTTATTTCACTGTTGCATAGTAATGGATCTACTAATTGATAGTTAGACAGAATAGTCCAGTCAGATGCAATTGTTGTTTCAAATATGAATGAATGAATGAAGATGCTGCAGTGTAATTATGGATAACATGGTAGAAAAACAGTGTTTAATCTGCCAATACTTGTGCTTAATTGTTAAACTCTTTTCTCAGTTTTCCAATTTTTGTTTAGAGGTATGGATACAACAAATCCTGCTGTCTTCGTCAATGCTGAGCTCCTCCGCTTGTACATGGGAAGGAGAGTTCGAGCTGTGATTCAGGTTATGCGCTCTGATGGCGGTGGCACAGTGAACGGGAGATCTACAGATGATCAGCAGATAGTTGTGAAAGGCAATCCACCTGGTCCTCTTACAACATTTGTTGAGGTCACAGGTATCGCTGACAGTAACCAATCTATCCGTGCTGAAGCATGGTCCAACTTTGGGGACAATCTAGGTACCACTTCAAATCACTCCATTAATATTTTACTATGTTTAATCACTATGTCTTTAGGTGCTGGAATCCTCCTGACTGCTTCTTTGTTTGCTCTTTGTTGTCCTGCATTTATGCTTTAAAGTCATGAACCATAAATGTTTTTCGAGCTATTTTCCCTATAAAAGTATGCTGGAAGAAAAACAACTTACGTTCAAAGTTTCTGCGAGTTATTAGGAGTACCGGAATTATAGGCAGTTACCTTATATACTAAAATGCTATTGGATTGTGCAGCGTGGATCTATAAACAGATCACTTATATATTTGTTTGGTTGTTAGTATATACCCCATGAGCTTGATCATCTTATGCATTACAAGAGTGGGAAGTGGGTACCTAAGCTCCTCATCTCCTCGGAGATCAACAAAATAAAGCTTTCAGGATTTAACTCTCCTTTTCCTTTTTGTTGAACATGGAAATCAAGTCAACAGGAATTTTATTTGATTAAATTGGAAGTGCAAATGAGTGATTATTGATATAATGCATACCCATCTTCATGGATTTATATTGCTCAACTTTGTTTGCTTGTGAGAACCCGAATTTCAAAGGAATGAATTCTGAGATGAGGCTTTTCTGTTGCAGATACATATAGCTATAACCGTATTTGCATGCTGGCAAATGGCGATTACAAACACTTGTTCATATGAGGACTCAAAAATGACATGATTTAGTGGATCCTAATAAGTGATCCAACTCTTTCAGTATCTCCATCCTTTATTTAAATACATGATGCATGTGAATACTTGTTTGGAGATTTGTTTTAGTTTGGGATGCTTGTTATGTTATGGTATATGTTTCACAGAGTGAACCTGCTGAAATCCACAACTTTTACTTTATTTACATTTTGGTTGTTGCTTGCCAATGTTAGCTTTTGCTGATTGTCAACTGTTGCAAACCTAGCCATAAAAATAATCAAAGTGGCATGTGTAATTTGGCACGCAAGCTATCCGAACACCAAGATTATTAGAATAAATCAAGTAACATGTGGAAGTAATAAGTTATAACGTAAATTTTTTTCACCTAATAAGGTTAAAAATACATAGTTTTTGTTAATTAATGCTTTTAGCTCTTGTATCGTATTTATAATTTTGTTTGTATCTTCATTTTCCTTTTACTCTTAGTTTGCATGGTTGTTGCGTATTGTTTTATAATGTATCATATTATACTGTTTTGATTTAACAAATATTGTGTTTAGATAGATTGTATCATTCTCCGTCATTTTATAATGTCACACATCTCTAATTTGAATGATAACCTCATTAGAAAAGTAATATATTAGGTAGAGATATTGTGAAAAAATAGGATAAAGAATAAAATAGAATTATTAAATAATAAGTAAAGACAAAATATAGAAAAATATTAACACTTTGTTTGGATGGTTGTTGTGTATTCTTTCATAATGTATTGTATTGAATATATTGTATTGTGTTAATGAATACAGTGTTTGGATAGAGAATGAATTGTTCTCCGTCGTTACGTAATTTCATACACTCATAATTTGAATAATAAACTTACAAGAAAAGTAGGGTGAGGTTAGAGCTATTATGAAAAGGTAGGACAAAAGATGAAATACGATATTAAATAATATAAAGACAAAATGAAAAAAAAAAAACATTGAGGTAAAGACGCAATCACACCAAATTAATCATTACATAGTCTTTTCGTCTTACGATTTAAATGATATTGTATGATAAAATTTAAATAATAATCAAAACAAATATTATATTTAAAACAACAATCTTCAAATCAACTGATTTTAACAATTACATGAATTAAAGAAGAGCTCGCGGCCATGGAAGCTCCACGATTATGTCACGTAGTTCTCTCTTTTTCTGCCATGAATAAACAAACCTAGCTCTGAAACCGCCATCTCCATCTCCTCCAAAATTGACCCACTTTCTGGCAGAGATCACAAAAAAGTAGCTAAATACAGCAAACAATGGATCATTACAAAGTATTAGGGTTAACACGGAGCGCGAACAAGGAAGAAATTAAGCAAGCGTTTCGGAAATTGGCAATGGAATTTCATCCCGACAAACACGCACATTCTTCGCATCAGTTAAAGGAAAACGCTACGCTCAAATTCAAGCAAGTTTCCGAAGCTTACGAGACTCTGATCGACGATCGCAAGCGCGCTGATTACAATATCCGGTCCAATAGTTACCGGAATTCTGCGAATAATTATGGCGGTAATAGTGACTATTATAACCGTAGTTATCAGAACGGGTATAGGAATAGTTATAATTATGGGTATGGGTATAGTCGGCCTACGGATGCCGGCGGTTCTGCTAGCATTGTTACCAAATTCGAGATGGTTCTGCGGTTCATGACGACGCGGGCATTTCTCCTCAATGCTGCACTTGCCGGGTAATATTTCGTGTTCCCTAATCCATTTTGAAACATGGTAGTTGATTGATACATAGCTTTAAGTTTTATTAGTAGTAATTATTATCACAACAATAGTTCTGTCTCATTCTCAAACTAGTTTAAGTTTTAGCTATATGAATTCCCAATATCCATCATGCTCGAATTGGACTTGTTTCATTTCCATACTCATTAATTTTATCTTTTAACTCTAGTGGAAGTCATATTAGAAAAATGTTAAACTTGAAAGAGAAGGTCACAGAACCAACAAACTTTGAATTTTGAATAGTTTAATAAAAGTATCTTGGAATGCCCTAAACAGAGATTGTCATATAAATTGGGGAAGAGGAGTATTGAATTTGCTTGTAGTTCTTGTGGCAATATGCCCTTGTTAAAAAGGTTTATTTGAGGCGATATGTATTGTGTAAAGCTGTGAACTTTAAGGGCGTTTTTGTTCCATTAGACCTAATGGTTGAGTCATGTGAATATGTGATTTTCGTAGTTGCCAAGTCAAAGTGGAGGTCCTGAGTTTAACAGTCATATGAGTTTGTGTTAAGACTTATATGTTGGTATTCTTCCTACTTGTGTGTGGTAGATGCTGTCGATGTGCAACAGTTGGAGTTACACAATTGTAAATATATTCCTAATACTTGATCTCTCTCACCTTCATCCACCCAAAAGAAAAGAACATATTTCTAAATTGTCTGGTTATTTTGGGCAATTGGGTACCGAATTTGCTACATTTATTGGTTTATTGGTATGTGGTGTTATGTATGCAGTATCAGCTGCAGTTGGTTTTCCATGTAATTTGAAGTTTGGTTCTTCTCCATATATTTTCTTTTGGATATGGTAGGTTTTGACTAAATAAGTGAATTATAGTTAAAAGTCAGAATCTTTGTGTTACTTCTAACTTTTGCATTTGTGCCTTACCAAGGTTCATGAATTAGTCTAGTTTCAAGTTTTGAATGTGGATATTCAACGATTCTGATCTTTCAGTTCAATCTTGATGTGTTTGTAATGAGGGAACTGTGGTATATTGGCATTCCACTGAATGTATGGTTATAGCACTTTAGCTGGATCATTAAGGAAGACACCACCTTGGGTGAATGTTGAATTCTATTGGTAGTTTCTGTGATACTTCTAAGGAAACGGTCATCAAGACCAAATAGGAAGGTATCCAAGAAAATTTGGCATTTCAAATTTGTCTCGTCGACTGTCCAGTCTCATCCTTTGGGTTTGGGTGAATTCTATGTATTTCTAGTTCCTAAACTTCCTGATTCATGTGAAACAACTCGATTCTTCAAAACATCATCCTGTTCTTTTACTTTACCTCAATGTTTTTGTTATGGATAAGTTATTTTCCTCAATTTTTACCCAGTTAGAATCTTCTAAGGAACTCGCTGATATATACTTCTCTGCAGTGTATTGTTAGGTGCAACATATGTAGTTGATGCAGGTGGGGAGGCACTATGGAAGATGCAAAATTCTGGAGTAAGACTTCTTTTCCTTTTCTCTATCACTCTCCATACACTTTTTGTTAATTGAAACTGCATAGAGATTAATGAGCAAACTATTTAACTGAGAACAAGAAAAAGAAATGTGGTCCAAGGTTTTAATATTGCCTTTACTTGGTAAAAAATTTGGTCCCCCTTTTTTTTTTGTTTCAATGGTAGGATTGTATATTTCACTGGGTATGTTGTTGTTGACATGTGAGCAGGCAGTGACCCCTACCTTTTTGAGCTTATTTTTCAGTATAATGTATCATATCTTATTATTTCTGTAATCTGTGTAGTTTCTGTTTAAATTTATAGGAACTTCACTAAAGTCATTCAGTTGTAGAAGTATTTGTTATATTTAGTAAGCAGTAAAGTCTCAGAATAATTTTCCCTAACAACCTTCTTTGTGATCTCTGAGTGTAGAAATCGTTTGAAGAAGCAATGGAATCTGTAGAAAAAGCTAAAGCATTTGATGACAAAAGATGAAAGGGGTTCTGCTGTATAGTTGTTTGTTTTTGTCGACGGGTTCGAATTTGCTCATGGAGAACCCCTGCTTCATACCTTGTTAAATAAGCTATTGCAATTTGCAAATAGCTGAGCTGAGATCTTCAATTGCTGTCAAAATTACTCAAATTTTTTTTATAGATACAGAGAGGGAGAGAGTAATTTGTAAAGTGGTTGAGCAGCGTGCATCCTTGTATATAAGAAGGAAAATATATTTGGTGGCACTGCTGTTCTTGTATTATGTAATATTATAATTATAACCAAATGAAAATGTGTAGATATAGGCAGTCAGATAAATATAATTTGACTTGCCTAAAGTATAACATGTTAGATACTCTCTCTGTTCCTAATTACTTGTTCACTTTTCTTTTTATAGTTGTTCCTAATTACTTGTTCATTTTGACAAATTAAGAAAAGACAAAATAATTTTACCTATTATATCCTCAATTAATTACTTTGAAAAAGATACAATTTTTTGAAAATCTTAAATTTTTAATCCATCCACTTAATAATTAGTAGGGGTAAAATGATAAACTCACTATGTCAATAATTGTTTTCTTAATAGGTGTGTCAATTCAAAAGTGGACAAGTAATTAGAGACGGAGGGAGTACGGAGTAATTTTTTTTTCTTACAAACATGCTTCACTTCCTTTCTTTTGAGGTGAGTTGAGAGTATCGAAAACATTTTCTCTACCCTCCAAATAAGGTCTATATTAATCTTTACCCTCTCAAAATCCCACTTGTGGAATTACGTTAATATTGCCATTGCTGTTGTAGTTGTGAGATTATTTAAAGTCGTGTTTGGTATAATTATTTTGGTAAATGGAAAATGGGTAGAACTATCCATGAATTTTCTGTTGTTAGTTTGGAAATCAAGTTGTTATTTGTTATTACAGCATTATTCAAACCAGCTTGCACACACGTCGACTAGATGCAATCCAGTACTACAAGTTCAAAGTATAACATGCATATGCAGAAGGGATCACCAATAGGACTGGATTTTCAGTAGTTGACAAATAGGTAGAACTATTAAATGATCTCTGCTGGCTAAACAAACAGAAAAATGAAGATGAAAAATGGGAAGCAGCTCATTATGTACAAATAATTGTACACAGAACTGGATTTTTCAGTAGTTGGCAAAGCTTTGAGAGAACTCCATCCAATGTGTTTGAAAGAATACAAGTGAAGGCAATAATCTTTTCTCATAGACTACCTGACTCTACTATTTGTTTCATTTCCTCTTGATTTCTATTCCTTGGCTACGAAAAAAGCATCTATAGAATGTGCATCTACTGGGATATGATCCCATCCAAATGAGATAGTGTCAAGAAGGTCAACAAAGAAACAAAAAATTATAACTTAGCGACTGCAATAAGCGGATGCACCAACTTTAGTTAGAGAGACAAAACAAAGTTCAGTCACATATCAGCTGATGCTGCTTATGGACATGCAGTAAGAGATGCTGGATTGATATATGTCTCCTGCATCTTTAATGCCAAGGTGAACCACCAATGGTTATCCTTGTTCAAGTGAAACTGAAACTAAGGCAAGCTTCCCCACTCCACAGCTATATCATGCAAGTACAGAACAATACACCCAACTTAAACAAATTGGAAAGCAACAACCATCAAAATCATTTCAGTAGGATAAGTAATGAAGAAAATTATGCACATACTCTTCATATGTAAGGATAGATTAGCTTTAGACTTAGATGTGAAGTCATAATTATGAGTGGAGCTTCTGGCAAAAGTTTATTGATAGAAAAAACTTCTAATGTCTTGCTTCAAAGATGGTAATTTTATTCCTCTGACCAGGGGATCTGTTCAATCCTGTTATGGTAATTTTGCGCATGGAAATCTTTCTATCTGTATAATCAGGTCATAGGTACACCTGTAAATTATGTGTAACTAGAACTGAGCCAAAATAGAAATAGTACATCCAAAACAAAAACACACAAGGAAGTGCTTTAGGGCCAAAAAAGGAGGTAGAAACAATGATGGTTGATGCAAGGCAATACCTAGATTAGCCATTGAACATTTCTCTGCCTATATGCAACTGCATTCCTCAAACAATATGCTTCAGATTTCACAAACTTCGGAATAGGTTCCATTTTCATGAAAAATGCTTTCAAACAGGTACAACAACATACCCAATGAAATCTCACAACTGGGGTCTGGGGAGGGTAATCAACTAAAAACAATTCAGTACTAGTTTTAGGTTAAAACAGTATGTTAGCAACTGAGCCAACATTATCACAGAAAGAAAAAACAAAGCAATTAAGTCAGACATACTCTTTTTGCGAGTTGGTTTACTTAGCAGCTGTGCTTATTCCTCTTTAATATATCGCACACAAAGCTTATGACCTGATTCTATCTCGAGAACACTTCACCTCAAATGGCTCCTTGCAAAGAATTGGTTCTACTAGCTTTTAAAGGAAACATTTCCTGAAAGCAACACTCCAAACCAGTGCAAGGTCTTTGAGATTAAGATGGATACCGAAAGATCTTCACATTGACAGCCCTTGAGTCAGAGCGTGAGAGAAAGAAAGCACTGATACCTCTCACCAAGTACCAGATGAAACTAGGAGATGAATTTTCCAATCCAGTATAGAAAATAAGCAGAATCCTAAGAGATCATGTACATAGTTAAAACTACCAATAGATGAAAAAATTATGTTGCACATTGTTATTCTGAGTCGTTGAATCAAGATACAGTGCAACTACTCTTTAGTTGTATGTAGCAGTTGATTCCCTTTCTATTCGGATGTACACTACAATCCAAGAAAATAACATTAAGTAGAATGTTAAGCATTCAAGAGGTTTGGGTCAAACCTAAAATTTCAATAAGTAACTTGTCACCAATAGAACTGTAACGCATAAGCAATAGAACTACTTACACCAATAGTTGATACATAGCTAAGTACTTGAATTTAACAAATCATATAGTATACGACACGTCAAGTTCATGGAATACATCTTTTAGCCCATGTACAAATGGGAGTTATAACACTCTTAACAATATTATGTATACCAAAATCAGTTAGAGAATCAATAGAGGGACAAACCTCACTAGACTTGTGATTTTACAGATAGATCAGAAAAAATATAGCTGAGTTGTCCCTTCCTGCTCGGAACCTTGAAACAAGGGTGTACCGAAAGCAATTAGTTTCCTTCTAAATCAAAATATATATCTTAGAACTCAATATATCCTGTACTTTCTAATTTCCTCCTCCACATGTCAGTGGTCAGAACATCAAAAGATTCGTCGAAGTCCCAACAACGAATGGCTCCATCAACAGCCTTGTCAAGAAGTAAAAGATGACCCCCAAAGCAATGGATATGGGAAGTGCTGGCAAGGCACGTCGACACACTGCTAACAGTATAAGCGTGCACCCTAATCCAGATATAATAGCGAGATAACAAGCATAAACAGTCATCAAATCATACATTGCAGCTCTCCCCACCAACACACTATAGAAAACAAAATCTCCCAAACCAAGCTTTATCCCCCTCCCTCTTTCCTCCTCTTCCTCAATTTCCCTCTCCAAAACCCGACCACGATCACTCTCATTACTTTCTCTTATCTCTTCATTGACCACCGGCCTTTCTCTTTCGTTACTACTACTACCCATCAATGGTAACATCTCCCCCTCAATTTCAACCTCTCTAACACCATCAATATCTTCACTTTCACTCCTCATCTCATTCACACCCCTCCCATTCTGAACCACATTTTCACTACTCGACATAACCCGAAGCTCAATTGGGTCCCCATCAGAAAACCCAGCTAACAAAAGCCCTAAATTTGGCCCTCTATTCCCTGATCTCGAACCCACATTAGGCCGGGCCTCGTACACCAAAGCAGGCAACTCTTCATCCCTACTTGAAGCCAGCTCCACCAACATCTTCAACGGTCCACCAGGAGCTAAAACTGCAACAAGATCATACAAAGCAAGGGCAACAAGCACAACCCAAGTTGTCCATTCAGGTAGTTTCGTAAACCAAGCTGCTACAATAATCCCTAAAGCAACCATATACATTTGGTTAAGCAGAATCGGAACCCCTTGTGAAAACACAGAAATGACCCCCAAAATGGTGAAATTGAAAAGGAGGAGACAAAAAGTGAAGGAATCAATCGGGATATTGAAGTGCTGAATAAGAGTAAGACAAATCGACCCACCCATCGAACCAAGAACGAAGAAAGCAGAGAAACGGATGTAGTATTTCAGAAAATTAGTGAAACGATAGTAATAGAGGATTACCAGAAGGAATGTTACAAGGGTTATGAGGACTACAAAAACGACGGCGTTTAGAAGAGCTCCTTCGAGCTTCTGGGTAGTAGTATCGGAAGATGATTCGAGGTATATGAGGTTAGCGGCTGTACGGATGACTTGCTGGTTATCGGAGGAAGATGGTGAAGAAAGGGTATATACGATCAGGACAACTAGGAACATGCAGATGGATACTGGTGACATTACTCCGATGATCTCAACTCCGATCGTCTCCAGAATGCTGCCGCCGTCCATTTTCGGGTCGCCGGTCGGTGGTGGGGTTTGGGAGTGGTGAAGTTTGTCTGTTTGGAAAATCTCAGCATAAACTGAATTTTGGCATAACAGTAAGGGCTCGTTTACCAATGGGGCTGCTCCTTCTTTTATCAGAGTTTTCGAATTCAAGCTTTGCTATGAAATTTTAATAGGAGGCACTTCTCCCAAATAAATTTTTACATGATGCAAATTCGGAATAGTTGAGGTCTAATACGGTATCGAACCTCGAGTGAAAAATTAAAAAAAAAAGTAAGGGGTTGTTTAGTTAATGGGATAAAATGAGATATTTGAATTGCCTTTTGAGGTTAAATTAATATTGTTCTTAGTTGATAACTTGATAAAGGTCAATTAAATATTCTATAAATTTAATTTTGAGATATTTTATCTTATCACGCATACTAAGCAATCGCGAAGGGCTTGTTTTGTTGCAGAATAAGTTATTTTAAAATTATTATCTCATTCTTAATGTGGGACAAAAATAATATTATAGTCCCACAATTAGGGGTGGGCATAATTA